GGCAAAGATGCTGGGTTAACTTGCAACATAGGGTTGACTTTTGCTGCTGTTGTACTAGCAAAGCTATGCAGCATAGAGGACTGGCTTCCATCTGCTCACTCTGTGCAGAATTCCACTTTATATTTTCATTAGTAAGGAACTACAGTGTTTGAGTCAGATAAGGAGACTAGCACTGATCTCCATGGTACTATTTTATCTTATATAGTATTGCTGTGTTTGCAAAACCTCTGGCAAGGACTTCATTCATAGGTTATATTTTCACCAGAAATTCCATAAAAATGCAGGCCAGAAAAGGGAAAAATACATGTATGGTGTATTAGTACTATTTTTCTCTGGACATGCATTATTTCTGCTTCGTGACTCTGATGTCCACAGCAGAAAACAGAGAACGCCATATCAAACTGCAGGAGTCTACTGGCTGCTATCAGACTGCACATGCTTCTGTGCACCATAATATATGCTGAACACAGCTGAGCAGGACAGCAGGCCTAGAGGAGACATCAGAAACCCAATTATCACTAGTCTGTGTCAGTAGAGAGTATCCAGATGATTTATCTGCAGGTGAAATTAAAATGAACTTATCTAACTTTTTAACACATTTTGCATCTTCCTCAGACAGAAGGAAAAGTAAATTTACAGTCACTATAACATGCTACATGGCAAATATTTGAGCTAAGACAGGTTAGTGACTGAATTTGTTGGGAAAAGATTTCATTAAAGAAAAAAAATCCTATAACTCTTGTTGTATCTCTGCAGTGAAAATATTGAAGCTTATATATTTCATTGTTGAGGACAAAATTCTGTTATACTTTCATGTTGCATCATCCTTAACTATGCAAGATTTCTTTTTTGCTTCACCACCAAACTTTCAACTATAATAATCCATTACAAGTGGCACAGGCTTCTGCAGTGTCTGATGAAACAAAAAGCACCAAAAATGCATTGTGACTATTACTAACTAAAGAAAAGGCTACTGTTCTTGTCTCTATGTTAGCCTATTCTAATTTTACTTAAAATTATTATTAAATTTTTGAGTTAAGAGCAGGCTTAGATCTTCCAGCTCCCTAGAGTTTACCTAGGTTCACTTTTTTTCTTCCTTAGATTATGACTGCACTTGAGAAGGCTATTTTACACTAACATCCTCCTAATAAATGAACCCAAAACAAGCAACTGTTTCTCAGATAAAATCCTTTCAGTACAAAGATGATAAAGCAAAAGGAGCAGAGGTAGCAAAAGCACTTGCCATTTACTTAATTGAAAGTAATATCTAATAAGCTTGATGACCTTACCTTCCTCCGAGACCTCTTTATTATCTGTGGATTAGTTTTTATATTGAGTAAAATTATGCTCTTGGAAATAATCATGCAAACTGTATTTGCACTGGAATTCTTGCAAGTATTAGTATCTTTATTTCAAATCCTTCTAATATGCAGAGTCTGTTCTCCAGAGTCTAAAAGCATCAAGCAAGTCTTGAGACACAAAGAGGGAGATCAAATTGTCTCTCTATAAAAATAAGATGAGGCAGTTTGCCCCAGTGAAGACATTGCAAAAACCTACTCTCCATACAAACTACAAATACAGGATTCACATTTTGGGACAAGGAAGTTCCAGTGCCCTTTGTGCAACAATTCTGGCCAGATCTAGCCCTAGGAAACAAAGTCTGCTTGAGAGATAGATGTGTTAAACAAGGTGATCTTGATCCTTGCCTAGGCTGGCATCCCAAGCAGTATGAAACATCCTCACAAGCCTCAGGCCAGGTTTTTCCTGTTAGTATAGGCAGTGTCCTTCTTTGTAGCCCTTCCATTCTGCCGACCACAGGCAGTCTTCTACTGTCACCAATCTGCCCCATGTCTGAATCTTGCCTAGTCTGTGTTTGTAATACATGAAAAAGTAGAAGGACTAAATGCTGCCCCTTAAGTATTTTCAGTAAATAGACTTCTCAGCTTCATGTGCGCTGATAGATAGCATACAGCTGTCCTTTCCAAGTGTCTCTGCTGCTCCCTCTTCTTTCCAAGATTTATCAGTATCCCAGCCTACTTACATTTAACATTTTCGTCCAGTCACTGCCAAGTTTCTCTTCATGTAAGATGCTTCCAAACCTTTGGAATGATGCACTGATGTTGCACCAAACCAACCTTTCACTGATCTCTTTCATTCATTTAAAATTCCCTTTCAGGCCACAAATTATTTTCATTGGTTTCAGGAGTAGTTTTTAAGCATCCTCTGCCCTGAGCCCTTCGGCTAGTTTTCTTGTTTGATATTGCAAGTCCATCAGATTATACGCTGATTCTTTAAAATGTCACAAGTTAATCAGGGTCAACACTGAATAACAGAATTCAAGAGGACTGCATATTGGAGAAATATTGCTTGTATTCAATACAGGTTATTTATTCCCAAAATTAAAAACCGAAGCCATGAGATAAAAAGGGAACTGGATGAAGAAAGAACAATGTATTTCAAACCAGAAAGGTTTGCAGGTAGCTGAAATCTGCTAGTGCTTACAGTCTGTCTACCTCAATGTTTCAAACACAGACATCACTCTCATTTCAGAGTTGTTTGATTTCAGTTTACACAATGTCTAGTCCCTCTGGTGACTGCTACTTGATATTAATTCAGAGCAAAATTGCATGTCATTCTACTGTCTGTTCTTCGCTGCTCCATGCCAATCTGAATTTGGTTGTATTTCTGTGGCAGGTAAGTCCTGTTTACCTGTATCTCCATGGATTTGTGACATCTAATTACTGCTTTAAAAGCTTTCCTAGATCACTGATTAAAAAGAAAAAAACCTTCAGCCCTTCTAAGAATCATAATACATGCTCCTAAAAACATTTTCAATTTGAAAACCCCTACATTTCCTCTGAGTAGAGCTGAACAAGAAAGACATTATCATGATGCTTGCTTTTTTTTGTTTGTTTGTATATTGGGTGTTTTTTAAGATTGTAGATCAGCCAATTCAGCCATCACTGTAAAATATGTCAGGCATAAACTCAGTTCCTCCTAATACCAGCCTGATACAAAATAGGTCTCTGACAGAAAAAAAATGTATTCTGTAGGAAGTCGATATATGGACCACAGAAGCACTTAAAGTCACTTGTAATGTGGCTCTTGACAAACTGGAGATAGGCATTTGTATTATCTATTTTCTATTTTGCATGCTGAAACATCTCTGCAGCTGAGCTCCAAAAAGAAAATCCTAAAGTACTTCAAGTACAAATCAATCCAAAACTAGATTATGGCTCTGAAGTTTTACCACTACTCTAATGCGAGATCTCATAGGCCACTGGAAGTGTTAAGAATTAATTTCCGAGATTTCTATTGGGGTTCTGGGGAAAGAGTGAAAGGAAAAAGGAAAAAATCCCATACTTTTCTGGGCTCTTGCCACACAAGGAGCCTTATCAGCAACAGAAAATTCTGGTCATGAAAAGAAACTAGACACCACCACATTGGAGGAACCTTGAGCTGCTCTGTAAGAGATCTTTACAGTCCTTCTTTGTTGTTTTTTTTTCACTTATTCATCAAGTCCTCAGCTGCTACATGTCTCCAAGATGTAGGGTGGGAAGAACAGGACCTGGCAGCCGAGGTCCCTTTGGCAGGAAGGCAGGCTGTGCCTGGGGTGTCCTGCCTTCTTTGCCAACCAGGACCAGGGAAAACCAGGGGTGCAGCAAGCCACAACTGCAACTCCAGGTACCCTGACAAGGGGTGTGATTATTACTTTAATGCCAAAAAATCACCTTGTTTCTACCTTTTGCAGCTTGTTCCATAGAACTTCTTGGTGTTTTAGTATTGAAGGTTATTTTGCAATTGGTTTTTGTGTCTCAACGTTTTCCTTACCAGCTGGTACTGATTTTCAGATAAACTTTCTCTTTTGCTGCAAACGAGACTGGGTACTGGATGAGACACACAAGACTCAGAAAGGAAGTACTGAATTGTGCTGAGCTGGAAACTTCAGTCTCTTAAATCAAAAGAAGTGTTTTTTAAAAATGTTAATATGAATCTTGTAAATAGGAGTGATAGATCAAAATCATACATGTCATCATACAGACATACCAAAAGCATCACTTCTTACAAAAACTCCAGCTCTATTAAATTATCTTCTACCAAGGGAAAAGAGATTCACTGAAAAATAAATTTTGTTCTGCTGAGGAGTACCAAACAGGTAGAAAAAAAGATACAGCAAGTGTTTGGAAAACTATAAAATAAACCCTTAATAGTTATGGTTGACTAGTTATCTCTGATGTCATCATTGTTAGGACTACAGCATGGTATAGTCATCTAAACTAATTTGAAGAAAAAAAACATAAAATGAAGCAAGCTTGAAATGGGAAATGAACAGTGGCAGTAAGCAAGGACTGGGCATGTTTCTGAGCATTGTGCTATCTTTGTACCACAATAGATGCTATCTGCAAACATAATTGTGATTCAAGTTACACTTTATTCTGCAAAAGTTCCATCCCTTTTACTCCAGTAATCCTATTTCCTTCCCTAACCCTGTTAAATTCTTCAATTTGCTATAGACATCAAATCCATGCCCCAGTATTTTGGTCTGGCTGGCATGCATCATATAATATGCTATTTTACAACTGATGGACAGAAGACCTTTACTGAATTCATTTTACAAGATAAGTCAGCTCATATTGAGCACAAGGGAATACTATCATTTCACAAAATCACTTTAGTAAATCCATCTAACTCATTAGACACCAAATATGTCTCTTCCAAAAAAGAGTGGTGGTGTGCTGGGCCTCAATCCCATGATAAAGAGCCCAGTGCTCATACATCAGTGACTGTATCTATATCATCTATATCTATATCATCTATATCTATATCTATATCTATATCTATATCTATATCTATATCTATATCTATATCTATATCTATCTATATCATCTACATCATCTATCCATATAGTGCCAGTGGCATATTCACAGAACCTTTCCCACCTTCTCATCACGTTTCCTTATTATTTTCTTTTTCTTTTTGTATATTCAGTTGGTAAGGGGTTAACACAGCTAACACTGCGGATTTGTGCAAACAGAATAAAAGATTAAGCTGATCATCTTTCCATATATTTCTCTGTGTGTGCCCTATCAAGGATGGATTTTCTGGGGGAAGGAGAAATGTGGAGGTCATATAGAACAACCTCATAGTGCTACGCAGAAGAGGGTGACATTCAGCAGTGTGTGGGTATGTATATGTTTTCTCACTGCTGTATTTTTTTCTTAAATTTAACTTATTGGAATTGAATTACAGTGACCTTTCTCTAAGTCCTTTCTGACTCTCCTCAGTATGTAATATATGTGTGTGTGTGTGTGTGTATATATATATATACACAGAAAGATAAATATTTCAGTTCTAATAACTAGGAGAACAGAATCATAGCCACTTATACAATTCCATTCCATGCCTGTCATTTCAGAAATACAAACAGTATGTGTCTTTTTTTTTTTTTCCTCTTTTTTTTTTTTTTTTTTTTTTTTTTTTTTTTTTTTTTTGGAATGTGAAATGAGACAGAGGAAACACATTTCCACACTGCCATCCACTGATAAACTCACTAAGACTGTTATTAGCCAGATTCCATTTGCAGCCTGTGTGGCGTGCTGCTGGGAGAGATGACAGCCAGAGGAGGAATGATGGTTTGGGGTCAAATTCTGCTCTGCTACCCAGGAGGAACCCTCCAAGTAACTCAAGTGACTTTGAAAGCAAAGAGTACCTGTGTTGCCACAAAATTCCAATATGCATCAAGACACAATGTAATCATTGAGCAGAGAATCTCCCTTCAGTAGATATCAAATTAATGTTTTCTGAGAACAATTTAGAAAACACTCTCAGTTTCAACCATGTTAGGCCATCTACAGGGAGTGCTGAAGCCCCCTAGAGTCTGAAAAGAAGCCAGTCTGAGCTCTCACTGGTATCAGTTATGTCCTTATGTTGAAGGCTTTCAAATGTTTCTTTCCTTATTACACAGATGTCGGTCTGATTTTCCATTACCAGTCCTACTATGAAAGCTGAAGTAGGAACAAAATTATTGTATAGTTTTTGAATAAAAGAAAGTGAGTCAAAAGAAAAAAAACATGGCTCTTAGGTCTGATCTGTCTTTAAGTTCCTTCTGTTCACTCATTTTTGGCACTATTTCAAACATAAATAAATAAATGTGAAAGTTCTCACTCTAGTGAAAACCTCATTTATTGGGTAACCATGTATGTATTTGTTTCTCTACATTTTCTATTCTATAATTCTTAATTATTGAGCCTAACACTCTCTGTTTAAACACATTTGTTTCAAACAGTAGCAAAACCTGCCCACTACATTATCTTGCATTTCTAGTAGAGCTCTTTCTTTTTCATTTATAGCCTGTTTTCTTTCCATGCCAAGATTTATCTACAGTGCTGCTTGCAATCATTATTATGTGCAAACATCAACTTCCCTGTGGGGCACTGTTGTAATGAGGATCAAGAAATTCCACTTAAAAAACTGGAAGGGGAGGAAATGGGAGGTATTAGCACCACATTTTACTTTTAAAGATACTCCTCTGCCAGTCAAAGGAAATCAACCAATGTTACTTTTTGTTTCCAAAAATGCTTAAAAATTAACTGTAAGTAAAGCCCTTTTTTTAACACCGGAATACCCAACAGAGAAAAAGCTGTGACACTTATAGAATAAATATGACATTATAGTCAAACCTTTAATATATCCTTCCTACATTAGAGATTGCTGAGCTGGACCCTCTGCCACGGATAAGATAGAAATTTTTTTCTATCTCATAATCACAGCAATTAGCACATTGTGTCTGGATTTTGATAGTTCAGGCAGGGACAGAAGAGTCTGTTAAGGATGATCTACTGAGATGGGGAGGAAAAAAGTAAAACCAAAAAATCCACACACAAAACCCCGCTCAAAACAAAAGAAAACTCAACCAGAATTAGAGCAATCCTGTAGAGCTTACTGTACATATGCAGAGGGATTGGTTCCTCTAAGTGGCTCAGCTTCATGACCTACAGTGTAATCAGTAAACTGGCTGCCAAACCTAGGCTTAGTAAATTTTTTCAGAAAGAGTTGTTTAAATACTGAGTTTATTTTCATCAAATCAAAATACATGCTTGGATGACAAGTTGAAAATTTCTTGCAGTGTTTCCTGTGGAAGAACAGAATTAGAGCTGGGGGCTGAGGAAAACTTTTCCTTTGGACTTGAGCTGGTAACAGGGAGTAAGTGTCCTTTTGCTCTTTGTTTTACTCTTCATTTCACCTGACAAGGTCAATTTTTTTAAGGGAAAAGGAAACTGCATTACTGAATATAAAATTTGTAATAGGATAAAAAAAAATATCCCTTATTATCTGAATGAGTTAACAATTCCTAATGTTCTATGGCATATCATGAGTGTCATCGCCATTCTAACTCTGTGTTGTTATTCTGAATAAAAGAACCTGTACAGGAGCACGTCTGTATTATAAATGAATTTTAAAGTGTTTCAGTTTAAGGGAAATTGAAAGAGATGTGAGTATAAAAGACCATATTGTCTATTCTATTCCATCCATTTTTTCAGCATCAGGCAGAAATATGGCTATCCATTTCTTACTTAATTTTTCTGTAAGTTGCCTGCTTTGTGTGGACAGCAGTTGGAAGGCTACAATGCTGATGCAAATACTGGCTGATAACCATTTAAGGTCTATTATCAACCAGCCCAGATCATTTCAGGTCCAAGGTTTAAGTATGCTATGCAAAGTCTGCTACAGAGCAGGCTCAGGAATCAGGGAGAGAACATGGGTTCCTTTAGTCTTCCTTTTTTATCTCCATCTGGGTACAATGGGGAGAAAGGACCAAGAGACTTGATACCAAATTGTGTGTCATTAGACAAGATTTCTTCTCAGTTTTCATCTGTTGCAAAGTACTGCCACTCTTCCAGCTTCTGCTGCTCACTGGGAAAGGACTGAGTATAATTCGGCATCGTTGAGGGTATATTTTAAAAGGGTTTTTTTTTCCTATGGCTGCAAATCTGGATAATTAAATGGGCTTTGTGGCTAAAACATTGCCTGATTTGAAGTTCATGGGATTGGATTTCTTCACCTGACTGGAGAAATGGGAACATGGTACTCAGCATGTTATAGTGCACAAGCTCTGCATCTCTTCATCATTCAGCAGTTTCAGTTTATAGCAGCTGCAGACCCTACTTTCTGTTTAACACAGGACAAAATTTCATTTTCAGTGGTCAATACACACATATCCATGAAATAAATTAAATAAGGGGTTGTGGTGAATAAACATCTGGTGAAAAAATATCTCAGGACAATGTATTTAAACTAATTCTGGAAGGAGAGTTAATAAAATTTCATCCTCTCCTTTATGTGTGTTTTGTTCACCTAGAAGTAGGATTTATGTCACTTAACTGTGTGCCTAGTTTGGACTTGTCATTGTTCTCTAACCTGTGGAGAGAAATGAGCACACCCAGAGGGAATTAATCCCATTCTGTATTAAAAGTCTATTTCTGGCTATAATGGCCCTCACCGAAAATATCTTCACTGAGTAAAGAGCTGTCTGCATAACCACCTTAGGCTGAACATGTAATTTCCACACAACTAAAGTTAGGTGAGACATATCCTATTAAAGTGTCCATGAACTTATGCTTATACCATTTTCTGGGCTAAAACAAAATGGTTATCCACAAAATTCATATGTAGATTTCTGTATTATCAACAAATAAACAGCTTTTAATTAAAGTTTTCACTAGCTGTCAAGGAAGTATCAAGCCACCTACTTTCATGCTCTCCTTCACTTTGGAAGTGTGTAGCCCTCCATCAACAATAGCCATTATTCTGTGCCTAAAGCAAATTTATAAAGATTACTGCTCTGGATTCTTAAAATGTAACCTATGCAGTGAGGAATCATAGTAAACAAGATCTGGACTCTTGAAGGATGACAGGTAACATAATTTTGTTGTTAAAGGTGGACCCTATTTACCTTCCTGTACTTCCTTTTTTATAGCTGTTATGGACAAAATCTGTAACACTTGCTTCCAGAAATATGAGCCAGGCAAAATTAAGCTCTTAATTTCCATTTTAGTTCACTTCAGCATCTGTAGAAGTAAAAAGCACAGCACAAATCTATTGATTTTTTATTTAAAAAAAAAAAATAAAATTATTCTGCCACTAAATCCTCTAAGTAACATAGAGCAATTTTTAACTGTTTAGAAAATCCAGAGATATCTTTTTCAAGTGTTATGCAATTCTGTATGCAAGCAGTGTGTGATGGTAGTTCAAGGTATTTTTTTCTTATTGCCAAACACAAAACAAGCTTATTTCATTTTCTCTAATCTAGTCTTAAATAAAATATCCTCTTAAATGGGACTAACACTATCTGAGATATATTTACATTTTTAGCAGAAGATTAAAAATGTGATTTGTAAGTCAAAAGATTTTTTGAAATTATCTCATACAGTGTTTTCCAAAGCCATGCCAGAGAAATCATGATTCTATTTTCATGCTAGGTCCTCTGTCAAATCATTTACACAGTCACTATAAGATTTTGTGCTGAAAAGGAATGCAGCAGTCATATGTTGTGTGTGACAGCCACACCAAAAACCTGCTCTTTTAGCTAAAAAAAATGTGAAATGTTTGTCATGTTATTGGTATGAATGCACCAGCTCTGCAAAGATAATAATAACACAAAATATGAACAATTCATTTTTCTGTTGTATTTTTGTGTTATCCCCAGGTAATATATGAAAGGCAATGCATTCTGTGCCTGATCTAAAGGTATTTAGAGTTGCTACAGCAGATGTTTAAGATCAAAATTGTAATGATTTGTGTTCACATGGCTGGAAACACCCAGTTTGATTTTTAGTGCATGAGAGAGCCATGGATATGGCAACAAAGAGAAGGACAGGACCAAGAACTGAGGCTTTGAGATTCCTGAAATTAAGTATGGCAGAGAAAGGGTGCTCTTTAATGTTTAAAACTGAAAAAAAATACCCAAATATAAATGGACTGTTATTGTTCCCTTCTGTGCCTACTAGCACACACTATGTGTAAAAGACTTACTGCAGTGAGAGACTACACCAAGGGCTGAATATGTTCTCTCACTCTTTTAACCTGATGTATCTGCTAAAATACTTACTATGTTAATTCCAGAAGACTGAAAACTCTCAGAAGAATGCTCATGCATATTTCAAGACTTTTTCTGTCAAGAGGTGCATCCTATCTTCTAAAATTATGTGCCCTGAGCTACAAAAGTAAAGTGCAATTTCCATTTACTTTGTCTGAGGTGTGTCAAAGGGGTATAATACTGTATAGTGCAGAATGGGCATGCACTGTATTTCATATATTCTTGCCTTTTCATAGAAAAGTCACACACAGTAAATGTTTTCTGTTGACTCAGGATAGTGAGAGCAAACCAGATGGCATAAAAAAAGACAATAGTGTGAATGCACACTGCTGAAGCTTGAAGAAACTGATTCAATCAATTCTTTTCTTTTTCCTTTATTTCCTGCTCATTATGTAAGAAGCAGACATACCACACAGATGAGCACAGTGTGAATGCTTGTATTAATAGGTTTTCCTCAAAGTATGCTTCCAAAAATATTAATTTGTTCAAATTATATGTGAATAGGGAAAATCACTTTAACAAACTAAAATCCTACAGTTTGACTCAAAATCTTATCATAGGTCATATTCACAAGTGTTAAAAGGCATATAACTGACATGAACAAAGTGATATCAACTTATACCTGCTGAGCAATAATAGGATCTCAATGGATAAGGCATACCTTTGTGTTATCAAATATGAACAGAGAGCTGCCTCAGTAGAAATCCCTCAGTGGTCAGAAGAGGCTGAGCACACTTGCCAAGTCTTTGTAAAGGCTAAAGAACCCTGCAATTAGAACAATGCCACAATTTTTAACTGCTTAAGCAGAGGAGACTATAATGTTGTGCTGCTAATGTTTTCCAGAAACTTCATTGTTTATTTGTAGCCATGTGATGCAGTCATCACTGAGTTTAATACAGATTAGAATTTAATTACTACTTCAGTATTTACATGCTGTATGAGTTTTAGTCCATAGACATGAGAAGCATCTGAATATGAGTTTTGTCACTGTGTCAGATCAAGAACATTTGTAATGTGCACTCTAGTCTTTTGTACCAAATAGAGAAATTGATGACTATCAGAGCCTAAGGGAAGGGTAAAACTATGATATTTGGGAAACAGAAACATTTTTATTGAGTGCCTTAATGTTAAAGCATAGAAATACATGAAAAAATAGCCTTTCTATTTGAATTTAATGAATTCCAGTAAACTTCATCTACTATTCAGTTTTTTTTTTTATCTGAAGAATATAATATTTTAAAAGATACAAAGGCATATGTGGATGTAAAATATTGTTAATATTTCTAATTATTTCATTATTCATGTTAATTTGAACATTCATTAAAGACATTAAATCTTAAATCAAATTACTGACAGTGAGAAAAAGGTCTTTCTTTGTTTCCTGGGGCCAAAAATAAAATCTTCTCCATTTCCAGGTGATTTTTTGGTCACAGCTGACAGTATCAATGACTTGTTTCAGTTTGAAAATTAGGAATTGCAGGTAGAGACCATGACTTGAAAGCTGAGAAAATGTAAGAAGAAACTTCTTGCATTTCACCACAGCTGATGGTCAATTCAAAATCCTAAATGAGAGTTATAATAATCTAGAGGGAAAAAAAATAAAAATGTTTAAAAAAATCACTCAATAGGTAAAAGAACCAAAAGGATTTAGTGTCTGAGACCTGTAGATGAAAAGAAATCTGAAGAGAAGATCAGCAAGAATGCTGACACTTGGCAGAAGCACATCTATGTGAGTGAAACTTCTTATTTAGCAATATTTTTTCAGAATATCATGGTGATGTTTCTAATGTTTTCAGTATATCATGGTAATCTTTCTAAGAAACATGGTAATGTTTCTTATTGCTCATGACTGAGAATATGCATTGTAGCTGGAAGGGCTGAAGAGAGAGGTAACCACAAGAGGCGTCCTGACCGTCCTTACACCGCAGTGAACGACTGCCAGTTCCCCCCAGAGGGGCTGCATGGAAGTTTACACAGACCTGCAGGAGGAGATTGCAGAAGTTCTTGTTATCTTGTTTTTACTCCTCCTTTTTCTAGAGGAGTAAGAACAAGATAATGCAAATGAAAAGGTGTTTCAATCATGTGGAAAGCTGGAAGAAGTCTTACCGCTGGGAGAATTTATTTAAGGATTAATTCTCTCAACTCTCGAAATCCATGTAAGTACCTGAGAAAATACATAGAAAAGACAATTTCAAATTTCAATGAGTAAATTGCTGATGAAATTTGTAAAAATCATGTGGTGTCCATGCATTATTTCACTACAACAGGAAAAGAAAATCAGGCAATCAAAACCACAGGCAATAGATGGACTGCAAGAGGAGGAAAATGATAAG